CCCGGACTCCCGCCGCTGAAACAACTGAAAGGCCGCAGTCACGCGAGGTAAGACTTTTATAATCGAAAAAGCTCACCTTCCCAGGCTGCCCTCGCGCTTCCTCCCGGACTCCCGCCGCTGAAACAATTGAAAGGCCGCAGTCACGCGAGGTAAGACTTTTATTATCGAAAAAGCTCACCTTCCCAGGCTGCCCTCGCGCTTCCTCCTGGACTCCCGCCGCTGAAACAAGTGAAGTCAAGTGAATCCCAAGTGGAGGCTGATATTCATAATTCTTCCTCTGAAAGAATGCTTTCATTGTTTACAGGTGATTACCAACTTCTTCCCTGAATTCTAATGCTGTTCTTTCTTCTATGGGTCTTCACTGTGGGACAGGAGCCATATGTAATCTACCTTTCACCCCTTCTCCTGAGCTATAATCTATTCCATAGGGCAAAGGAAACAGATAGCAAGATCCACCTTCCTATGAATGAGAAAGTGTGTCTAAGCATTGGATCAGTTATCTCAAAATGTATGAATGTTAATTCCTTGGGAGGTTCAGGCTTTCTTTAACAAGTTGATGCTGCCATCTGCAACCTTCCAGAGCAAGACTTTCCTTCTCAATGGACGAGGTGAACGTATTGCCAGTGGCAGACAATGCACCTGTCACTGGAGTGCTCATTCTCCCTTCACTCTACATCTCTTCTCCCTGAGGTACTGTGCTGTTTTCCCCTTCAAGGAGAAAAAGTAGAAATACATAATTGTTCATAATAGCTTGGGTAGAGTGGAGGGAGGGACAACATTTGTGGAGAGTGACTGAGAGGCAGGGGTGTGAGAGTACAATAGCGTAGAGGGAATGTAAGTGTTACTCACTTCCTCCATTGGTCTTGTCCATGCACAGATCATTAGATGCTGGTCTTTTCGTACCATCCTCAGGAAAGCATTCTAAAGCAGAGCCTCAGCATTCTCAGAATTCCTCTCCATTTCTGTGGTTGTTGCAGTCTCCAGTTCATCCATGCTTTGGGATCCCTGTAATAAGAAATCTTTTTTTATACACAAGGTTTTAAACTTGACAATTCTGACTAAAGAAGTTGAATGGTTTCTACAGTTATCAGAGTTCTCATGTTTGAATTGCAACTTGTTTTTTGTCTAAGATAGCAGACACATTTTACTAAAATGTCAATGTCTAGTTCCATCATCTCTACTGCCAAGAAGTACAAAATAGCAATGCCACACTTCCCTCCAATTTCTACAACTTGTGAACTCCAGTGAGATTGTCATTCCTTCATGGTCATTGCATTAAAATCCTGGAGTTCACTATCTAGTACTATTGTGGGAGCACTATTAGCACAAAGATAACATAACTCACTGTCAATCTTTGATGGGATTTGGGGTGCTAATAAACGCAATATTAATAATATCACATACTCCCCATTTTTTTAAGAAGATGGAAAGCAGTAACAATAGTCACCACAATTGTAAATACAATTGATAATAGAAATAGCTTATCAAGATAAACTGAAGAAAGCTCAGCCAGATGATCTCTATGAAATCTTTACAATGAGTGTGATGTGAAGAAGGGAAAATGCAATATAGAAAGCAAAAACATTTTGTCAGAAGTGGCTCTAAAATATGATGTAATGAATTAGGAGAATATATAGTGCATTTATGATTGTACTGCATCTGAATAGCTATAATAATATAACAAACTGGTAATTTTAAATAATCACTTTGTCATCAATAGCACATTGATTATTTACATCCACTGTGATCAGGACTCCTTGCAAGCTTTTGGTTCTATATGAAAATACAAGTCTTATTTTTCAAATGAACTAAAATTGTAAGATCAATTTGATGTGCCATTTAATGTTATGGACCAGACCAAACCTATTTAAAACATATCAAGCAGATAGTCAAGGCCCTAACTGTTATCTTATTTAAAGGCAAGTGTAAAGTGCTGTGTTCCAGATGTGATTTGATTGGTCAAACTACTAGGCTTAAGCAAAGCACACTCTATTCTTGCACTGCAGTTAAAGTATAAGCAAAATAAAGAGAACTGGAATAACTTTATCAAAATACTTAACAATTACTACTTACCCACTTCCAAATTAACGGCATCGTGTAAACACACCCTTGGCAAAGGGAAATTCAGCAAAACAGATTTCCCTCACTTTCTATCACCTCTGGTCCAGGAGAAGGAATACTGATAGAAGGAATCTAGCAGCGGAGAGAGAACTCAAGCTTTCAGTGACAGGAGAGAGAGAGAGAGCTGTATTTAGCAGCTTCAACTCCAAAACTCCAAGTTCAACAATTGAAAGCAAAACTGTAACCCTGGGTCTGTGTGAACCTGACTCCACTCACTCATGCTTCTTTAGGCTAATTTACAATAAAAACCCAAAGCTATTTACTCTGCTTTCCATAGAGCAGAAAGCTTAGCACCAGGTTTATAATACCCCTCTTCAAGAAAAACAGGACAGGACAAATCCCTCTTAAAGGCACATTTCATCACAATATGAATTGGAAGAACATTTCTTTTCTAACGGCACCTGCTGGAATTTGGTTGGTCACCTGTTTAGTGATTTGTTCTGCTCTGCAGACTGGAGAGAGAACATTTATTAGTGGGCAAACCTTTTCACTACTGTGTATGTATGATGTGTACGTCCTCGTTTACTCTCAATGTAGCATATTTACTGCAGGACTAAGTCAATTTGAAACATGAGACTGAAGCTACAATGGACCCCAGTCTACAGTAGCAGCCCATGTGTACCTGACCAGATTGTATGAATCTTCCTAAGTGGTGCTGCCCTACTGGCTGCATCATGGCTGGCAGGCTGTTCTCTTTAACTGGGAATCACTGCAGCTGGTTTTGCAGAAGGAATTCTGGGATATGTGGAACTACCTTAAGACTGCATCATTCTGGTCAGAGTGCTAGCATTCTGGGATATAAGGTAAAGTTGCCATTGTCACAGAGGATCTTAGGTCTGCTTTCTCATTAGAAAGAGAGAGAGAGACGACTGGCGATGGGTCTAACCCCTCAGGTGAGAGGTGAGGTTGAGAAGCTGGGACCTTAGACAGTGCTGAAAATGAGCAGTGAGATCTGTGACAATTAAGACACAGTCTGAGCCAGCATGGCAGCAACCATGGATCTCATGACCTCTATCTGATTAAGAACTCGCTGATATGTTAGGAGACCTCCAACTCTGTTGCAGTAGAAGTTGACACAGCAGTCATTGGACAGCCCATCATGTGTTGATTAGACAGTTCTACCGTGGAGGTGTGCACCAATTCCACAGTAGAATAGGTGGGTTCCAAGCTCAGTCTGATACCTGCTGCCACATTGGAGCCGATATCTTCTATGCTCCATGCCTATGAGTTGAGGTTATTTGCAGACTTGCAAATGCAATAAACATGTTAGTGGTTTCTCTAATCTGCCTCAATTTTAAAGTTGACATACAGGAGTAGTTATGGGCAGCAATCTCATTAGACATTACAGTTCACGTTCAAGATAGAAGAAAAGGCTACAGTGAGGTGGAATTGAGTCTACCATGGAGTCTCATCAGCAAGTCATGGAAACACTCAAATTTTATTTCAGTAAAATAGCACAGGTTCAAACTACAGATAATCTGGAGCTGAGGAGTACAATCAAAAAGCTTAAAACCAAGCATCAAATGGAGCTTAACCATATAAAATTATGTAATAGTTGGAGCAGTCAAACTATCTAAAAAAGGCTGCTGAAGTGAAAGTTGCTGCTATTAGCAGTCACAGAGCAGTATCAAGTCTCATAGCTGGAGAAAGAAAAGATTACAGACGATTTTCAAAAGTCCTGAGTGGAGACAACAGTTGCTCTTGAGAAACTGACTGCAGAAAGAGATGTTGAAATATTCAAAGCTTGGAGATCATAGTAAATTATTACTTGAGGAAAATGTTCTGCTACAATAAATAATGATAATGTTTAATTTATTTTAGTCACTCATGGGACGTGGACATCGCTGACTCTCTAGCGTTTTTTATTGTCCATCTCTAGTTGCCCTTGAAAAGGTAGTGGTGAGCTGCCTTCTTGTACTTCTGCAGTCCATGAGCTCTATGTGGACCTATAATGCCCTAGCGATGGAATTCCAGGATTTTGACCCAGCCACAGTAAAGGAATGGCGATATATTTCCAAATCAGGATGGTGGCTGACTTGGAGGGGAACTTCAACTTGATGATGAATTTCTTTCGAGCTGAATATTTTCATTTGCTAAGGTAACTTGAAGGAGAAGGAGGTCTTTGTTTACATTTGCAAAAAACTATTCTGGAAAAGCAAGCCTTTATTAATCATGGAAGTCAATTTCAGAACGAGGAAAGGCTTAGAAAGCAAAATATAAAGGGAAATACAGAACTTAATCCTTCAACATCTAGCCGGTCCAAACTCTTGGACGGGATTAAGACTAGTATGCAGTTGGTAGACACTGAATATCCCACAGTTGTTCAATCCTCTTTCAAATCTCCAGACTTGGGCTTTTCCCCAACCTTTTATATTTCTGTACTTTTGATTGTGGACTGAAATGGGATTAGGACTTGTTTAAAAGCCAAGATTGTTGCACATTTTAAAATCAAGTTACCTGACACCCATGGTAAATGCAGTTTACACAGTTGTTGGTTCAACCAGTGGGGAAAGTGTGATTACGGACAAGATGGAGCCGGGGGCAGTGTATGAACAGAGATTTGGCTAGCAGCAAGTAGCTGATTGGTTTGTGGCTGAGCTACTACTATCAATAACATAGGCTTCCTGCCTGCAAAAAACGATGTAATTGCTTGTCAGGTAGCTGAACAGCTTAGGGATCTGAATATTCAGGTCATAAGCAATCAGACCTCGGGAAGGGAAGGATCTATTTTTACACTGCATTAAAAAGAATTTCAAGCCTAAACATAGCCACTTTATTTCCCCTAATCAGTTGCTGTAGGCTATGATTTTTAGTTAAAATGTTAGAGGCCTTCATAAGTATGAACCAGTTATCCTGTGTATCCTGAAAGCCAGTGAAAGTACCTAGAGAAGATTGAGAGACAGCATTCTGATAAGCAAAAGGATTTTGTCAGCAAACCCTGTGGACAAGAGCCACTGAACTGCTTTTCCAGTCTTTCTTTCCATCCATAATACCAATTATTTTGTTCCTTTCTGTGTTGGTCTGTATACATGTGTAGAGAAGTAATCTTTATAATTAGGCCAGAGTTTTAGCCAGTAGAGTTATATGTTGATGCTTCATACTTGTTTATTTGTATTTAAAATCTAATAATTGGTAATAAATAGCAATTTTGTTAAATACAGAAACCTGATCCAACCTCTTGTCAACACAGTAGGCAGGTGGAGGTACACAGCAGGTCAGGCAGCATCAGAGGAGCAGGAAAGTTGATGTTATGGGTTGGGACACTTCTTCAGAAATAGGGAGGAGAAGGGAACTGGGAAATGAATAGTGGGAAGAGGGGGGGGCCTGGGGAAAGGTAGGTGGGATGGTGATAAGTGAATGCAGGTAGGGAGTGGTGGAGATTGGCCAGTGGGATGGATGGGGCGGGTAGGTGGGAGAGAAGATGGACAGGTTGTGTCAGGTCAAAGAGGCAGGGACGAGAGGGAGGTTTGGACGTGGGATGAGGCCGGGGATGGGGAGATCTTAAAACTGGTGAATTCTATGTTAAGGCCATCAGGCTGTAGGCTCCTGAGGCAGAGTATGAGGTGTTGCTCCTCCAGTTTGCATGTGGCATCATTTTGTGACACTAGAGGCACTGTTCCCACCTACATCTGCGACACCACCCATGCCCTCCACCTCCTCCAAGACTTCCAATTCCCTGGCCCCCAAAACCTAATCTTTACCATGGACATCCAATCGTGTACACATGTACCCCCCATGCAGGTGACCTAAAAGCCCTCCTCTTCTTCCTCTCCCGCAGGCTCAACCACTCCCACTCCACCGACACCCTCATCCGCTTAACAGAACTTGTCCTTACCTTGAACAACTTCTCCTTTAACTCCTGCTACTTCAATAAAATGAACGGGGTACCTATGGGCACCTGTATGGGTCCAAGCTATGCCTCCCTCTTTGAAGGATATGTGGAACAGTCCCTTTTCCGCTGTTACACTGTCACCATCCCTCACCTCTTCCTCCGCTACATTGATGACAGTATCGGAGCTGCCTCATGCTCCTATGAGGATCTTGAACAGTTCATCATCTTTACTAACACCTTTCACCCCCAACATCAAATTCACCTGGACCACCTCCAATACCTCCTTCCCCTTCCTGGACCTCTCCGTCTCCATGTCTGGTAACTGCCTCAACACCGACATCTATTTCAAACCCACTAACCTCCATAATAAAAACCAAAAGAACTGCGGATGCTGTAAATCGGGAACAAAAACAGAAGTTGCTGGAAGCTCAGTAGGTCTGGCAGCATCTGTGAAGAAAAAAATTAGAGTTAACTTTTTGGGTCCGGTGACTCTTCCTCAGAACTGATTAGGAAGGGTCACTGGACCCAAAACGTTAACTCTAAATTTTTTCTTCATGGATGCTACCAGACCTGCTGAGCTTCCAGAGACTTCAATTTTTAAATCCATTAGCTATCTGGACTACACATCCTCTCATCCACCCTCCTGCAAGAATGGAAACCCTTACTCCCAATTCCTCCAACACAACTGCTCGCAAGATGGAACACCACACTCCTGGGCATCCCAGATGTTCTCTTATTTCAAGGACCGCAACTTCCTCCCTTGGGTAATCAAAAATGCCCTCAACCACATCTCTTGCATTTCCTGCAGCTCAAACACCCTCCCCCAAACAAAAATAAAGACAGAATCCCCGTAGTCCTTACATACCACCCCACCAACCTCTTCATCCAGTGCATCATTCTCTGCCACCTACAACCTGACCCCACGACCAAAGCAAAATTTCCTTCCCCACCCCATCTGCCTTTTGTAGAGACTGCTCATTCCACGACTCCTTCGTCTGCTCTACTCTCTCCACTAACCCCACCACACCCGACACCTTTCCCTGTAACTGCAGGAAGTGCCACACCTGCCCCTACACCTACCCCCTCACCACCATTCAAGGCCCAAAGCAAACTTTTCATATCTGACAGGGGTTCACCTTTACATCCTCCAACCTGATCTACTGTATCCATTGCTCCTGATGTAGCTTCCTCTACAATCAAGCGCAGATTTGGGGATCGTTTCGTGGAGCATTTGTGCTCTGTACGCTATGATCAACAATACCTTCTGATTGCTAACCATTTTAATTACTGCTCACAGACCCTTGATGACATGTCCATCCTGGGCCTCCTCCAATGCCACAATAACGCCACACGCAAACTGGAGCAGCAACACCTCATATTCTGCCTCGGGAGTCTACAGCTTGATGGCCTCAACATAGAATTCACCAGTTTTAAAATCTTCCCAACCCCGGCCTCATCCCACGTCCAAACCTCCCTCTCATCTCCACCTCCTTGACCTGACACAACCTGTCCATCTTCTCTCCCACCTATCCACCCACCCATTCCACTGACTAATCCCTACCACTCCCTACCTGCATCCACTTATCACCAACCCACCTACCTTTCTCCAGCCTCACCCCTCCTCCCTCTATTTATTTCCCAGCTCCCTTCCCCCTCCCCATTTCTGAAGCAGGGTCCCTTCCTGACCTGCTGTGTTCCTCCAGCTCCACACTGTGTTGTCTCTGACTCCAGCATCAGCATTTCTTGCTATCTCCATCATCTTGTCAAGCTGGGTCTAAAAGACAGATAAGCTGAGGAATTTTGTGTATTATAAAAATCTTTAATGACTCTAGGAATATGGCACAATGAATTCTGGGTTTGATTATCACAGCACTACCCCTGTGATGCATGACACTGTGTAGGAACTTGATATTGATCCTGCTTCAGAAGTTTATTCCATTTTCAATGAAAATGCTGTCCAACATCCTCATTTGCATAGGAGCAACAATGAACTGAAACAAATGTGGAGATTATACCCTAGAAGAAGACGAATTGCTACCCTATGATATTAAGGGTGTCCTCATTTCCTCATCTCCAGAATACTCGTTGTCATTGTTATCATCCACCAAATTCATCCCTGGTGACAGTATTAAATAGTTCTTTCATTGTTGCATGACACAGCTCTTCATAGGAGCTGAAGGTGGTTCTTTGTTCAAGATAACACTTTAATTTTGCCACAATCTGTAATGCAGAAGAAGAGAATATGCATTTCACTTTGTTATTTTCCTGATCAAGGAGCTTTGATAGGCTGTATTTCATAGAACTCCTACAGTGTGGAAACAGGCCCTTTGGCCCAACACGTCCACACTGACCCTCAGAGCATCCCAACCAGACCGGTCCCTCAATAACCCACATAATCTGCACATCCCTGAACACTACGGGCAATTTAGCATGACCAATCCACCTAGCCTGCACATCTTTGGACTGTGCGAGGAAACCAGAGCAGCTGGAGGAAACCCATGCAGACATGGGGAGAATGTGCAAACTCCACACAGACAGTCTCCTAAAGGTGAAATCGAACCTGAGTCCCTGGCGCTGAGAGGCAGCAGTGCTAACCACTGAGCCACTGTGCCACCTGTATTGAATCAGTTTTCCCTGATTGGTCTTCACTGCCATTATATCCAGGTCACTCCAAGCGTCTTGATATCGAGAAGGAAAAAGATAATGAAAAAGACAAGAATCTCACAAGAAAGTAGTGAGCAGTCTATTTGCATACTCCGACATCTCATTAGTGCCTATTCTCAACTGATTTATATGCATTTTTCCATTCTCACCACACAGCAGACCAAACCTTGATGGTGAAAATCCCATATATGAAAGTCAGAGCAAATACATGGAGGCTCCAATTCACCAGTTGCTTTGCCAGGTCTCCATCTTGATTAATATTCTCCAATACCTCAGGGTAGGCTCCCTGGACAATGACTATCTGCATCTTTCATCTACAGAAGTTAGAATCAGAAATGCACATTCCTCATCACATCATGACAGCATTTAAAATACACTTTTCCATTTCACTGCTGCACTTTTCTTCTTTTGCTACTGCTAGGGTCTTTGTTTGTTTTCTTAGCACTGAGCCACTTTGTACCTACTTGGATGTTCACAGCATCACCTTTCCTTGCCTTGCTTTTTTGCACTTTGCGACTACATTCAGGACTCACAGGCCTGCATATACTTCTGTATTGCCTTATGATTTAGCAGATACATAGTCAGGCAGTTTGTTATGAATGTCAGAGTGATCAGTCAAAAAGGTGGCCTTGTTGCTGTCCTGCACCATGCTTCATCAATGTCATACATACAACATGTGCAAGCAGCTTATTTGGCCAACATACTCAGTCCATGTGCGTCAACCAAAAGATAATGTCTCAAAGTCTAAACAGAGTAAACTGAATCAAGTTCAGGAGGACTGTGGCCAGTCTGGGTACGAGTACAGTAAGTCAAGAGTGGTGTCTGACTCGGTTCAGAGGTTTGGACATGGTCAGTGATCTGCTTGGAGAGGTCAGGGTCGGGTCAGCAGTGGCCCATGGTCACCCTCTTCATGTCTAGTTTGGGGATTAGTGATAAGTCAGTTGCAGAGTTCCACAGAGATCACACAGTGGATTGGCTACTCATCATTTGAGGTTGTCCTTCCAAGTTGGTCAGGGGGTCTGTGCATGAAAATTAAGGGGCATTATTAGGGACCACTGCTATGGAAAGGAAGTTGGGGCAGCTCACCATGCAAAAGTGGAAGATGACAGTGCATTGGATGGCATGCATTACTGTGAGAAGTGTTCATTAACAATCACGACCACCCGAGCTTTGATGTAGCATAATGATTAGTATGGTCATCCCATAGTCCTAGACCTCTTGGCAGGTGTTGGGAAAAATAGGTGTAGAAGTGCAGAAGCTCAGAACTGAAGGGGTCCATAGGGAATTTCAGGAAGAATGTACATTAACATTTTGGAGTGCCCTAGCTTACCAGGCTGAGCCTGTGACCCACCATGCAAAGTATAACTTTGAAAAGTGAGCAAAGTAAGTGTTTTTTTTCCCTGTCTGAAGACACAGGCTCCAGTTACTAGAGATATAAAGCCTTGAAAAGGCAATTGCATTAATTAGACATGTACACAGTGCAGGTTAAAAACATCTGTGGTCATAGAGTCTAGTATGTGAAACACATTTCCTGACCATCTATGTGGATAAATTTTTTGGTCAAAAGTAATATTGACCACGTCAATGGTGATTACAAATTTATGACAGTCATCTCTGTGAAGCAGAATTAGTCTCAAGTGACTTCTAAGTGTCATCTGTGGGCCACATTTCACAAGATCAATCCAAGATCTCATAGGCTACACAAGGGCATAGAGCTGGTTTCACCTCATCTTGAACTGTAAGCATTTGCCAACGTGCTCTTATATGAAATGCTGCCTTTTTTGAAGATGTGGGGACCTAAGGGTGGGAGGGGCAAGCTTTCAGTAATCCTACTGCATACTCCCAGAGTGGTTTGTGTTGCATTGTCCAGAATGTAGTTCACACGCCAAGTCCCCCATGTTCCCCTGTAGTCAGGACTATGATAAATTGTAATTTGAACGTGATGTGAATGGTGACTCATTATTAAGGACCTGTTCTGTTTTTGATATACCTCACATAGGTTCAGCAGAAGCGCAATCAATCGATCCAGCCATAGCAGGATTCTCATCACTGTGGTGACAGCACAACAATGATGATGCAGAGAAATGGAGAGGAATAAGCTCAGAACCAACAGTAAACTCCAGTGGCTGCTGACAACCTCCATGCGAAGAGGTTGCTACTGAAGTACCCCTTAGGATGTGGAGGAGACCCAGAGTCTACCACCCTCAATGCCATTTCCTCCAGATGGGTGAGGCAGTGTACAAGAGGGGCTAAAATTGATGATGATGCTCAACAGCTGCATGACCTCGAATGAGTCCTGTGAACATTCCTATACGTGCCAAAGATGGCACAATCAGGAATATTTTCTGTTTTTGCTTTTCTGTACTTGCTGTTTGTCACACTGTATAAGAGAGATACAATTTGTTCTGAGTCATTGAACTTCACCTTGGGATTGCAAACGGTGCTAGGAACAAACCTAAGCCTCCAGTCCAGCCATAGAATGAGGGGTCCGCAATGGGCAGAAGACAATATGACTTATTGCTTTTCTTTTTTCCTACTTTTCCATTTCTTTATTATTACTTAATAAACATTCATATTTGAGCAAATTGCTGTTGCTGAGTTTTCTCTTAACTACATTTAGCTGAATCTGAAGAACCTCTTGGATGCACTTTGGGATCCAAGATACCTATTGCGATGAGGATAGGATTTCAGAAAAAGTTTAAAAGGGGAAAGGCAACCTGATGCTCCGAAGATCTTCTGAATTCCAAGGATGGAATGAGGGAGACTCTGGATTCGGGTCCGTAGCTATCTTGTTAGCACAATTTGGCCCCCCGCAAGAATGAGGGATAGTTATAATTGGAAAAAGAGAGAAAGGAGGGTTATTCATACAGGCTGGCATACACAAGTGCTTGTGGGAAATAGGCTTCCCCAAAAGCAAGGGCAGTGTACTGCAAATGGAATGGAAATTGTTAACTGCTTTGCGTTCTACGTGCAGAGAATTAGAAGAGTGTCAGACCAAAAATAGACAGCTTGATGGCAGTAGAACAGCGTAATATCACCCTAATTGAAGCAGTTAAGACAGTGCAGGAGAAAACTAAGAAGGCAGGGGAGAAACCGAACCAGATATTAAGCCGTCTGGCGACTGTACAACAGAAAAAGAGAGCAAAATGGCGCAATTGGAAAGTTGACCCAGTCAAAGTGTGCACATTATTAACTTCACAATGGGACCCCACCACTGGGACAGAGACACTTGATATTCATCTATTTAAGAGTATGAATGGACAGATAGGGACAGGGATGCTTCATCTCTGGAGCCATCCTCAGAAAGAGGACCAATAGCATAACCCCCAATAATGAATAAGACAAAAAAAAGGACAAAACACACAAAATTCAATAGTCGTGAACTACTTTATGTCCAAGTTACAGGATTTGGGATCGCGCTTGAAGCAGAAGTCAGGTGAACCCTTGGCTAACGAGGTCATGAGATTGGGGTACTGCCATAATATGCTGAGTGCCACAGAGCAAGGGAATCTGGGAGCATTAAGCATTCACCCACATTTGAATGGCATTCTTAGAAACACATGGCAAATTGGATGGTTGTGGAATGCAGTGATACTATCAATAGGAAACAAGTACCTACCCTCCCCTTTCTGAAGAAGGGTCCAGACCTGAGGCATCAGCTTTCCTGCTCCTGTGATGCTGCCTGGCCTGCTGTGTTCATCCAGCTCTACACCTTGTTATCTCAGACTCCAGCATCGGCAGTTCCTACTATCCCTTCCCCAATAGATTGGGAAGGTGATATTGAAAGATGGGAAGGCATACCAGAAGATATAAAGCATTTGAGGGATTTGGCTTCAATGAACAGTTATATATTCTCAACAGTTTCAGGATCCAAACCAGGAAGCTTTCACAGCTGGAATGAGGGGCCAGCTAATGCAAAGTCGCTTATGCTGGATGAGAGGTGCCCTTTTAGGGCTAGGGCAAGGACAGGCAGTGGGACAGTACGTTTGTTGTCAGGACAGTTAGAGGATGTGGAGGCTGCTAAGCGAAGAGTGAGGCCTACTCAAGCAAGAGAGAAAAAAGGACAACAGGTGGAGATGAGGTGGGTTCGAAGGTGAAACAAAAAATAACCAGAAGAGAAATGTTTGTGGCATTATTAAAAGCAGGAATAGAGAAGAGTAAGACAGACAGAATACCTATGGATACCATGTACAATATGTGGAGGACACACTTCCCTCCAAAGCGTAATGAAGTGAGTCAAGACTAAATCAGATGTGGAGGGAAAAAAGGAAACAACACTGACTGCATCTCCCACAAAAATCACTATACCCCAGCCTGGAGGAGGTTGGGCAGTTATGGCGAGCCAGTCAGCAAATTGATTAGGGATGGGGCTGGGACTCTGGGGTCTTTGCAAGGACATTTGGTGAGATGACTGGAGACCTGAGGCCCTATGTTCCTATCACCATTTATTGGAGGAAAGCCAATGTACAATGAGATATTGCATTACCAGACACTGGGGCAGAAGTTACTATTATAGATGGTAATCCACATAGTAACGCAAGGCTCAAAATGACTATTAATGGATTTGGTGGGGCGGTAACACCGCCAGTTGGAACAAATATTAGGACAGCCTTGAGGAATGAACCTCCATGAGTGGTCTCTGTATTGATATTCAACATATCAAAAAATATCATCACTATGGACATATTAAGAAGAACCACCTTGCAAACCCCACTGGGCAAACTCTCTTTGGTGTATGAGTTGTGACAGTTACTGTGACAAGGCAAAATGGGAACATCTCATTATTCTTCTGCCCACACGGGTAGTTTCAATGAAATAGTATCGTATTCCGGGATGACAAAGAAATTGGGGATACTATACAGCACCTGTTAGCTGTAGGGATTGTGACACACACAGCATCTGTGTATAATAGCCCTGTATGGCCTGTAAAGAAGCCTCTTGGAAGTTGGCAAATCGGGCTCAAATTAATCCCTAGATGACTATAAAAAGTGTAGGAGCACACTTAAAAGGGAAATCAGAGGAGCAAGAAAAGGTTATGAGATGGATCTGGCAGATAAGGTTTAAGATAATCCCAAGAGTAAAAGGGTGGCTAGGGGGAGAATGAGTCCCCTTAAAGATCAGCTGTCTACGTGTGGAGCCACAGGAGATGGGGGAGATTTTTTGAATATTTCTCCTTAGTGTTTACTGAGGAGAGAATCATGAATGCTAAGAAAATAAGGGAAACAAGTGAGGATGTTTTGGATCACATACATATTACCAGGGAGGAGGTGTTTGCAGCCTTAGATCACATTAAGGTGGATAAATCCTCTGGGCTTGATCAAATCAATCCTCGGACATTTTGGGAGGCTAGGGAAGAAGTTACAGAGGTTTTTTCTTCATCTTTAGTCACTGGTGAAGTTCTGAAAGATTGGAGGGTGGCTAATGTTGTTCCATTGTTTTAAAAAAGTAGCAAAGACAAGCCAGGGAACTACAGGTCATAAGTGGTAGACAAGTTATTGGAAAGGATACTGAAGGATAGGATCAACCAACATTTGGCTAGTCGGGGTCTGATTAGTGATAGTCAGCATGGATTTGTGCGTGGGAAGTCATGTCCGACAAATCTTTTGGAGTTTTTTGAAGAGGTAACCAAGAGGATAGATGAGGATAGAGCAGTGGATGTTGTCTATATGGACTTTAGTAAGGCCTTTGACAAGGTCCCATACGGCAGACTAATTATGAAGGTGAGGTGGCATGGGATCCAGGGAGAGTTAGCTAACTGGATTCAAAATTAGCTCAATGGTAGGAAGCAGAGGGTAATGGTTGAAGATTGTTTCTCAGGCTGGGGGCTTGTGACTAGTGGTGTGCTACAGGGGTCGGTGCTGCAACCTTTGTTAGTTGTTATTTACATAAATGATGTGGATGTGAATATACAAGGCATGATTAGAAAGTTTGCGGATAATACAAAATTAAAACGTATTGTTGATAGTGAGGAAGTTATCAAAAATTACAGAGGGATCTTGATCAGATAGGTATTTGGGGTGAGGATTGGCAAATGCAATTCAATACAGATAATTGTGAGGTGTTGCACTTTGGAAAGTCAAACTAAGGTAGGACTTATACAGTAAATGGTAAGGTCCTGAGGAGTGTTGTGGAGCAGAGGGACCAAGAAGTACAAATACATAGTTTGTTGATAGTGGTGTTACAGGTGGACAGGTTGGTGAAGAAGGCATTTAGCATGCTGGCATTCATTGGTCGATGCGTTGAGTATAGGAGTTGGGACCTTATGTTACAGTTGTAAAAGTCATTGGTGAGGTCACACTTGGAGTATTGTGTACAGTTTTGGTCACCCTGTTAGAGTAAAGACATAGTTAAACTGGAAAGTGTGCAAAGAAGATTTACGAGGATGTTGCCAGGACTATTGGGCCTGAATTATAGGGAGAGGTTGGCCACGATAGGACTTTAATCCTTGGCTCTTAGGAGAATGAGGGGTGATCTTATTGAGGTGTATAAAATCATGAGGGGCACAGATAGGATGAATGAATGTAATGGTGGAAGCTCTGGCCACACTGGTGCAACAAATGTGAGACAGAGTTTGGGAAGTGAACCCAAAAAAAGATACAGGGACCAGCACAATCAGTGCAGTTTTTGGGCATTCATTGGACAAAAGGGGATAGAGTTATCCCTGAAAAAGTAAAGAAGAAAAAACAAGAAATGGCTGTTCCAACTAGCAAGAACGAGGCACAGAAATTTATAGGTCTGCCCAGATATTTGCACAGACATATACCTCACTTGACCATGTTACTAAGACCTCTTTATGCCATTACTCGAAAGATAGCTCAGTTTGAATGGGGTGATAAACAGCAGAAAGCATGTATGACTGCTAAAGAGGCCGTAGTGTTAGCACTTCCCCGGCTCCTCAGATACCTGGGTTACCCTTTGAATTACAAGCATCAGTAGTACAAGATGTAGCCATGTGAGCTAATGGCAGAGACAAAAAGGGAAAGCAATGCCTTTGGGCTTCTTGTCCAGGAAACTGACTGAGGCAGCTATGCGTTACACACTATTTGAAAAGTAACTACTGGCCTGCGACTGGGCCCTAATAGAAACTGAAGGGCAGACGGGCAAGGACAAAGTGCTCTTCAGACCTGAATTACGAACTCTAACATGGGTGTTATCTGATGTTGGGACCCACAAGGTCGGTAGAGCCCACAAAGCTCCATTGTAAAATGGAAATGGTACTTAATGGATCGAGCCAAGAATGGAAAGGAAGGAGTTGTCAAAATCCATAAACAAATAGCTGAATGCCCACCAGTTGAACAATTTCCAAGTTCCGACCTTGTCATGCCTGCACCTCCCATTCAATGGGTTTTCCTTTCGAACAGCTGCCCAAAGAAACTCATCACTGTGCTTGGTTCACTGATGAATCAGCTACCTGGAAGAATGGCTAGAGGCAGTGGCGAGAAGCTGAGTTTAATCCCTCCACACAGACCATTATCCATAGTGGAGAAGATGGGGGATCAAACCAATATGCCGAATTAGCAGCGGCAGTCCTAACACTGGAAGAGGAGAGTCAATGTCTGTACATTTATACTGGCTCGTGGGCGGTG